CCGGGCTGGGATAAGAACAATTTACTGGGAACAGCAATGAGATAAGGAACCAACAGGAACAGCAACAATATTGATAACAGAAGGGATAACAACAAACAAACAATTTACAGGGAAAAYTSYGACAGCACCRARGGKCTCCYCCYRAMCACATATTTTCTCCTGCCCTGAAAGAACATCCTTCTCCTCTCAGGAGAGAGAAAAGAGTCCCTTTCCCTGTCCCTGGCAATGACCTGAGGTAGGATCAGATATAATGGCAGGAGCATGGCCAGACCCTCATGTTCTTCCATCCCATCTCACATCAGTGCCAGGGGCATAGAAGGGTCCGGTGTCTTCCTAACGTGTATCACTGGGAATGTGGGTCACCAGGGCTCTTCCCAAACTGGGTCCTGCGATGGGGATGAAGTTGGAGCAGCAGATACGAAGCATTTCCTGCAGTCAGGGCACTCACAGGGATTCCCTTACCGGTGCCTTCATTGGTGTTGGATCAAGTGAGAGCTCCTGGAGAAGCTCTTCCCACACTGGGAACACTTGTAGGGCCTCTCCCCAGTGTGGATGCGCTGGTGGGTGATGAGATGGGAGTTTTGCTTGAAGCCCTTCCCACAGTCGGGGCAGCGGAAAGGCCTCTCATCTGTGTGAATTGGCTGATGCTTGAGGAGATTGGAGCTGGTCTGAAACCTCTTCCCACATTCAGAACATTCGTAGCACCTTTCCCCAGTGTGGATCCGCTGGTGGGAGATGAGGTTGGAGCTCTGACTGAAGGTCTTCCCACATTCCCCACACTGGTAGGGCCTCTCCCCAGTGTGGGTGCGATGGTGCCTTATCAGATGGAACTTCTCTCTGAAGCCCTTCCCACATTTCCCACACTGGTAGGGCCTCTCCCCTGTGTGGCTCCTCAGGTGGACAGTCAGACTCGAACTGCAGCTGAAGCTCTTCCCACATTCCCCACACTCATAGGGTCTCTCCCCAGTGTGGATGCGCTGGTGCTGGATCAGTTGAGAGCTGCAGCTGAAGCCCTTCCCACATTCCACACACTCGTAGGGCCATTCCCCAGTGTGGATCAGTCGGTGACGGAGCAGGAGGGTGCTCGTGCTGAAGCCCTTCCCACATTCCCCACACTTGTAGGGCTTCTCCCCAGAGTGAAGCTGCTCATGGACCCCCAGCTCCAAGCCCCGGCTGAAGCTCTGAGTGCCTTCCTGACACTGGGTGGGTCTTTCCCCCTCAGAGCACCCTGGGCTGGGTTTGAAGCCCCTCCTTGCACAAGATCTCCGGGGCTTTTCCTCCCCATTGGATTCCTGTGCCATGGAGCTGCTGAAAACCACCTCTTCCATGACTTTCTGCTGTTGGGATTTGTCCTCCTTGATCTCAATCCTCAGCTCATTCTCTGGGGGAAGAAGGACATGGAGCGGATGGGATTTGCGTCTGTGCCGAGGGAAGGGGAAGGAGATCTCCCAAATCCATCCCTGGCAGGACGGCGTTGGCAGCGGGGTTGTCCTGCAGCCAGGGCGATGCTGGGCTGGGAGATGGAGCAGGAGAGAGGGGAAAGGAGCAGTCATTTCCTCCTCACCTGCCTGGGAGTCCTGGGGCATCCTCCTCCTCCTCACAGCCTCCTCCATCCAGCCAAGGTTGGGGAATGGGAAATCCTGCTTGGAGGAACAAATGAGGGATGAGCACATTGAGTTTGAAGGTCCCTCTGCCAAAGTCCATCTCTAGAAGTTACCAGGCATCTGGGGTACATAAAAACCTTCACAACACCAACATGCAGCCCAAAGAAAAGACCCCCCAGGAGTTCTCTGTCTCTGCTCGCTCCCCTTTGGGGTTTGAGGGTTCCTCCCTGTCCTGGC